GGAATTCTACTGGACAAGTTAGGCTGCTGATGATCTGAGGGAAAGAGGCAGCGACTATGCAGTCTTTTCCTAGAAACACATATCCTCAAATAGTGGATGTAGTGGTTATAGGGCTTACAGCAACACAGTTGCAAAGAAAATCTGTGATTCCTATTCTGGGATTAAGAGAAATGTCAAGCCTTAAAGGGTTCCTTCAACCAATAAACAACTTTTTAACAAAAGTAAGGCCTACTGGCATGGTCCCCTAGCCTAAAAGGTGTGTTTAAAAAAAAAAAAAAAAGCTAACTTGTCTGTGAATCTACACCAAAGTCATATTCTCCTCTCATTATATGACTCTCTCACTCTGGGTGGAATTATGTCTGGGAGGATGGACTGAGGGGAGAGACTTCTGAGGTATGGAAGGGAAGGCTGTACCGCCATGGGTTGTCTATTGCGATCATGCTGTGCGTGCTGATGAAAGATTCCAAATAAGCAAAGATTTAATATTAGCCAGCCTGGAACTTTAGATCTGCTCACTGCATTAATGGCTTCAGACTAGGAAATGTACCGCCTCCTTTGCTGTCCAAGGTCTGCTACTTGTGCGTTTAGGAAATGAGCATATCTTTCATTTCTTTACCCCTCTGCTCTAAGTGTGTGTGTGTGTGTGTGTGTGTGCGTGTGCGCATTTGGCAACTTGCATGATCATTGCATAAAACTGTGAACTAGTCTTTGATTAGGCTGAGGGCAGTCATAGATTTTTCACTAATATTCTGTGAGTATAAAAGCGGCTGAGCTCCACTAGTTATACCTTAAAGCTTTGATGGACTTTGATTTCTATTTTTTCATTGTAATTTAATTTTTATTTTAATTCATGATCTATAATATACATTCAAATTGATTTCATTTCAACACATGATGCCCCTTTTAGTGAAAAATCAAATTAAATCAATAGGGCTGCACTGCTCTGAGCATGCACACTTGTAAGGGTGCCGCTGGGGCCAATTCATACAGCATACAAAAAATCTAGCACACTCTCTCATTCACTGAACAACAATTTCAAGTCTCACAGAATGTAATAGTTTTATTTAAAAACACATCACCTAGGCAAAAAATAATGGAGGTTTAGTTACAGTATATCATCATAGATTGCATAGGCCTGCCACAATGTCAAGGTACCTCATTCTTTCCATGTCTTAATGTCCAACCTAATGTCTGCTCTTTTGAGATGAATCTACACTTACTAGGGAAATGCTTCCTCCTGGGACTCTCTGCAGATAAAAAATTAACTTGACAATATATTATTTCTTTCCTATGATTTTATTTTTTTCAGTTTATTTATTTTTTACTGCAATTTGTTCCTTGACATTTTATTTTTAATCTGCTTTACACTATGATAAATTCACTGATATATTTCTGTTGTTGTGATTTTCCAAAACAGGTTATTATTTGGCATTTGCAGGGCACAAGTTGTAAATAATCTGTTTTCACCTCCATCCCCTGTATTGTAGTTCTTCTTCAATGAGGATAGGAGCAAAGATTTATGCCAACAGTTATCATCGTTCTACTGCCCATCTATTTTATTGCTACTGGAGGCAGCTCTAAAGAATCTTATCTGTGTCACTGAAGATTCTTAAGTGTTCTGAACTCAAGCACAGTAGTTGGTTTTCTTTGCCAAAAGATAACAATATAAGGTGCTTCATTGCACTCCATTTTGTAAGACATTAAACTTTCAAATGATTTGCATTTAAATTATATCTATTGCCAACAAATGAATAGATGACTTCTAGATCCTCTTAAGATAGCAAATTAAATGCTATGTTTTTTATCTGTTTGCAAATGTGCAAGCAGATGTATAGCTTAAATAACTTCTTTACCACGCTTCTCCTTGGCTGTGCATGCATTTATTAACCATTACAGTGGGGGCGTGCTGCAAGGGGAAGATGGGGGCAGGCTGAGGGAAGTATAGTGCTAGGAATACACATTTTTACTCCTAGCACTATAGTATCCCTTTAACCTTAAATACTAACCTCTAAAAAAATTACTTACTAGTTTCTGTATCTACCGTATATACTCGTGTATAAGTCGAGTGCAGGTTTGTGACCAACAATTGTGAAATATGCTATGCCTCGTGGATAAGTCGAGGGTAAAACTTGGGGCTATGAAATTCTGTGATTTTTATAATTATATACACACACTCTGCATTATACACACTCACACACTGTGTGTATATAATGCACTGTGTGTATATAATGCCGCATTACTGATCCACTGTGTGTGTGTGTGTGAACTAGGTGGGGGGAGGGCATTTTTTTTATTTTATTTTAATATTATTTATTTATTTTGTTTTAGTCCCCCCCCTCCCTGCTTGTTAACTGGTCAGGGAGGGGGGCTATCTTAATCCCTGGTTGTCCAGTGGCATGGGCTGTGCAGGGGGGGAGCCGGCAGCAAGCTGTTACCATTACAGCAGCTCCGGTCAGCTCCCTTCACCTCTGTTCACCTCCGTTTAGCTCCCAGTGTAAGTCTCGCAAGACCCGCGGCAGTCAGAGCTGCACAGAGGTGAAGGGAGCTGACCGGAGCTGCTGTAATGGTAAGTAACAGCTCGCTGCCAGCCCCCAACAGGACTATGCTGAAAAACTCGACTTATACTCGAGTATATACGGTAATCAGTTATGCTGGCATAGAAAACACCCCCCAAGCGAGTGGAAAAACTCTCATAGAACATCATAGTGAAATGTTTTTAATCAGATTAAGCAAGTTGCGTGCGGGTGAAGGGTTGGCATACATTGTACCGGCCAGCCACTACTAGGAAAAAGTACCTGATGCTACGTTTTAGCAAGCAGTAACTGTTTAAAGGGCAACTATCACCAAATTTTAGTAGCAACCGGAAGATCTCTAATTATTTTTTATGGCACCTAATGTGACTGTCACTTTTTGTTTTGTTTTCCTTCCCCATTGGTAATTCCCAAATCTCCACCATTCCTCCCCCCGCCCCCCCCCCCAAAGATGTACTTTTTTGTTGTTGTTTATACATAAAGAAACAAATGACTGTTTTTCCAAATGTATAACTTGACAAAGGGTGGAGCTTCGATCAAGGTTATTGGCTGGTATTCTTTCTCTCCGTCTGTCATTGCATTGTTTTAGGAAGGGCCGCATTACTGATCCACTGTGTTGACTTTTGCGCAATAGCGAGCGTCAACACAGGTACATTACAAAGTGTGCATTTGACGTGCACGGCCAAAGAAAGGCAAACCATAAAATTTGCAGCCCACAGCCATCCTAGAAATTCAAAGACTGCAATGCCGTGAAAGAAGACCCAGCGAACTTCCACAACATTAAAAGTTGCCCCATACCGGAATCCAAGATGGTTGTGTTGGTTGGGGGAGGGAGTTGGGTGTGGCTTCTACAGAGAGATCCCAGGCCTGGAAACTGGGGCACCAAGTTACATAGAAACATAGAATGTGACGGCAGATAAGAACCATTCGGCCCATCTAGTCTGCCCAATTTTCTAAATACTTTCATTAGTCCCTGGCCTTATCTTATAGTTAGTATGGCCTTATGCCTATCCCACTCATGCTTAAACTCCTTTACTGTGTAAACCTCTACCACTTCAGCTGGAAGGCTATTCCATGCATCCACTACCCTCTCAGTAAAGTAATACTTCCTGATATTATTTTTAAACCTTTGTCCCTCTAATTTAAGACTATGTCCTCTTGTTGTGGTAGTTTTTCTTCTTTTAAAAATACTCCTCCTTTACTGTGTTGATTCCCTTTATGTATTAAAATGTTTCTATCATATCCCCCCTGTCTCGTCTTTCCTCCAAGCTATACATGTTAAGATCCTTTAACCTTTCCTGGTAAGTTTTATCCCGCAATCCATGAACCAGTTTAGTAGCCCTTCTCTGAACCCTCTCTAAGGTATCAATATCCTTCTGAAGATACGGTCTCCATTACTGTGTACAATACTCCAAGTGAGGTCCCACCAGTGTTCTGTACAATGGCATGAGCACTTCCCTCTTTCTACTGCTAATACCTCTCCCTATACAACCAAGCATTCTGCTAGCATTTCCTGCTGCTCTATTACATTGTCTGCCTACCTTTAAGTCATCAGAAATAATCACCCCTAAATCATATGTTGAGGTTAGGACTCTATCAAATATTCTGTACTCTGCCCTTGGGTTTTTACATCAAAGATGCATTATCTTGCACTTATACACATTAATTGTCAGTTGCCACAACTCTGACCATTTTTCTAGTTTACCTAAATCATTTGCCATTTGGTTTATCCCTCCTGGAACATCATCCCTGTTACATATCTTAGTATCATCAGCATACCTTACCATCAAGACCTTCTGCAATATCACTAATAAAAATATTAAAGAGAATGGGTCCAAGTACAGATCCCTGAGGTACCCCACTGGTGACAAGTCCAAGCCTCGAATATATTCCATTAACTACAACCCTCTGTTGCCTGTCACTCAGCCACTGCCTTACCCATTCAACAATATTGGAATCCAAAAAATGTGAATGACTTGGAAAGAGTGTGATGTCTGAATCTAAGAGGCCCCAATGAGATTTGAACTCACAATCCCTGGTTTACAAGACCTGTGCTCTAACCCCTGAGCTATGGAGCCCTTATTAGAGGTGCAGCCTAAATCCAGCGCCTTAGACCGCTCGGCCACGCTACCTTCGATAAAGTTAGAACCATTCATTAAAATTGCTGTTTTTATAGCCTGTTGCAAAGCCTTCCGTTTAACTAATAACATGTAATCTCCCTGTTGACAAAGGAGCAACGACAAATTGTCACTTTTTTTCTTTGAACATAGCGCAGGTTTGGTGTATCTAATATCGTTGCTACTTTTAGAAGCTTTACATCATGAAACTTATTATGATGTGATGTACATTTAAATTACTTTACAATACAGCTAGGGTTTCAGAAAAAAACAACTCTGGCTGTAATTAAAAAAACAATATGATTAATGTAATTGTAAAGTGTATATAATACTTTATATTTTGTTCTTCCAGGGAAGAAGTTAATGATAGTGAAGATGGCGGTGACCAAGACATGGACGGGGAAGAAAAAGAGTCAGATGAAAACCCCCCAGAAGCTGGAGATCAGGAAGAAAGCATTTCAACACTTACTAGAGATGAACTTGCGGAATATGATTTGGATAATTATGACAACGATGATGAAACCCGTATGATCCACATATAAATCTTTTTAGCTGTTGCTTCTTTCTTTTGTATCCTGTTAACATAGATTCGGGGCAGTGTTACTTTTGGCGTCAAACTTCAATTTAGTTTTAGTCATAGTCTTTTGATTAAAAAGCCATTTTAGTTTTAGTCATCGGAATTGTTTTAGTCGACTAAATCTCCAGTAGACTTTAGTCGAGAAGACTAAAATTTAATGGGTTTAGTTAAAGCCTCTAATCTGTCTGTTTTGCCCCTTCCCCAGCCCTTCTGAGTCTCTTTGTGTCCTCTAAGCCTTTCTAGGTGTCTCTCTCCCAAGCCCTGGTCTGTCTCTTTTGCCCCTTCCACAGCCCCTCTGTGCAGTGTTAAGTTTAATGGCAAATTTATATTTAGTTTTGTCATAGTCATTTGACTAAAATACCGTTTTAGTGGTATCTTAGTAATTTTGTATTTGTTTTAGTTGTCTAAAATTGTTAGTTGACAGAATTAACACTGATGCTGGGTTAAATGCATAGTGAAATGCTGAAAAGTGACAGGCAAATAACCTTTTTTTTTTTTAAGCTGTTTAGTAACCTTGATAATATGTACTATTTTCATAGTATTTCTATATTTCCTCCCCAGAGATTGGAAACCTCGGTGACAGCTTGGCTGGTCTGGCTGTGTATAGCAGCAATGAAAATGATGCTTATATCACCCTAAAAGACACGGTATGTATAACTAATGCTTTAGATGTAATGTATTTATAAACCGTGTAACACTACAAACCATGTCCCTGCAAGTAGCTTCCCTACAAACATGCAGTTTCACAAGCAGCTTACCACCTTGCAACACCAAAAACATACACCCACGTATGCAACACCGTAAGTAGTCCCCCGCCACACATGCAGTCCTCTAAACAGCATCCCTACAAACATGCAACTCGAGAACTAACATCCCCACAAACATATACCACAAACAGCCTCCCCAACACACCACATCTCCCAACATATATATAGCTAACAACCCTATCATTGTACCTATAAACACACAATACCAATACCAGCCTCCACACACATCCTTCAGGCAGCTTAACCCACGTATGCAACAGCACACACATCACTGTCTCCCGGCCCATTCTCTATTTCCAGTTTTGTTACTTTGGCCTTTAGTTTGAAAATCTATTTATGGTTTTAACCAGGGTATGTTCAGTGAGGGCTTGTGAACATGGGCTAAAATCGGCAGAACTCAACAAAGACGCAGAATCAACTTAAAGGGTTAGTCTAGCACACAACCATATTTATACTTCACAAGCCGCCACTGTGTGTTGTTGAAGAGTTATTCTCTATTTTATGTATTGTGATCTTCCTGGGTTCTCCTGCTCTGCCATTGGCCTTAAAGAGCGCGAAGAGTTTCCTCAAATAATATCATCTCACTGCTCCTACATGCTAGGAGTTTGTGTGATAATCACACCACTTGGGTGTAAGGTTTGTTGACTTGGTGTACAGCTACCACTCCTTATCCAGATCACTATGCTGTGTGATGGAGGTCTTTAGGAAAGGGATCCTCAGACAAATATATTTTTTAATCTGTGTACTTTCTGTTTAGTTTACCAGCATATTGTATATATTTATGCTTCTTTGAAAGTAAACCCGTCATACCGTTAATTATTTTCTAAATATTTAATAATTCATAAAGTAAATTTGCCATTGAAATGAGCTCAGATGGGGGTTGAGTATGTTTATATTGTTAAATTTTACTCTGTTGTGAAGTCATCACCCAGTCTCATATGTAAATTTAAATGGTGAATTACTTGCACATGTGACTGTCACATAGCTGACATTGCCAGAGTAATTTAAATACTTCATTTTATGATCTGTACACTGTTCTAGATACATTGCAAGTAAATGTGGACTTTGTTTTACTGCAGAATCAATCAGTTTCCTGAGTGTCCTCGGATGTAGAAACTGAACTGCTATGAATAGTTCCTAAAATAGATGCATTTGGAAAGATGTTTTTATAAGTAGATAGCTAAATATTCCCAGCAGCTTAAAATATGTTGTCTAGTTTCTACAAGAAGAACTGTATTTCAGCAGATTATTATTTAAGATCACATTCTAGACCCCAGGCCAAATAGAAGAGTTAGATAATCTACTATTTGAGGAAATAGCTAAAATGGCAATGAAGGCGGAAGTTCTCATCATGGGTGACTTTAATCTTCCTGATGTGAACTGGAAAACCAAAATAGCTGCTTGTGCCAGGAGCACACATATTCTAAACTCCCTACGGGGATTGTCTCTAAAACAAATTGTTGAGGAGCCAACTCGTAAAGAGGCCATACTAGATTTAGTGTTAACAAATGGAGATTTGGTATCAGATATTACTGTAAGTGAAAGTTTAGGATCTAGTGATCATCCCTCAGTGTGGTTTAATATAAGAACAGTGACTGAGTCACACCACACAAAAACAAAAGTTTTAGACTTTAGAAAAACAGACTTTTCTAAAATTAGAATATGTGTAATTGAGTCATTGTCAGACTGGAGCAATTTAAATGGAGTCCAAGAGAAATGGGATTATTTAAAAGTTGCACTGATGAAGGCAACAGAAAATTGCATTAGGCTTGTCAGTAAAAGCAAAAAAATAAAGAAACCAATGTGGTACTCTGCAGATGTGCACAAAATAGTAAAAAAACTAAAAGTTAGCATTTTGTAATTATAAAAAAAAAAAGCCAGAGTGAGGAAGATAGACAGACAGATCTATAAGATTAGGCAGAAAGAGGCTAAACAAGTTGTAAGAGCCTCCAAAGCACACACAGAAGAGAAAATAGCACAGTCAGTAAAGAAAAAAGGGACAAAACATTTGTTTAGATACATTAATGAGAAAAGAAAAGTAAAACAAGGATTAGATTAAAAACAAAAGGAAGGTATGTAGAAGAGGTTAAAGGTCTCAATTAATGTTTGTTCAGTATTTACAGATGAAAATGAAGGAAAGGGGCCTCAGTTAGGAAAAGGACAAATGAGTCATTTGTTACATGTGAGTTTACAGAGGAAGAGGTTCTATTTCAACTGTCAAAAGTAAAGACAAATAAGTCAATGGGACCTGCTGGAATACACCCAAAGTTATTAAAAGAGCTTAGTGGTGTACTAGCAAAACCATTAACAGATTTATTTAACCAATCATTATTAACAGGAGTAGTCCCAAAAGATTGGAAGTTCGCAAGTGTTGTGCCCATTCACAAGAAAGGTAGTAGGGAGGAGTCGGGCAACTATAGGCCAGTAAGCCTTACTTCAGTAGTGGGGAAAGTAACGGAAACCATGTTAAACGATAGGATTGTTGAACATCTAAAATCACATGGATTTCAAGATTAGAGACAACATGGGTTTACTTCAGGGAGATCATGCCAAACTAATCTTATTGATTTTTTTGATTGGGTAACTAAAATTATAGATCAGGGTGGTGCAGTAGACATTGCTTACCTAGATTTCAGTAAGGCTTTTGACACTGTTGTACATAGAAGGCTTCTCAATAAACTGCAATCTTTAAGTTTGGATTCCAATATTGTTGAATGGGTAAGTCAGTGGCTGAGTGACAGGCAACAAAGGGTTTTAGTCAATGGAGTATTTTCGAAGCATGGGCTTGTCACCAGTGGGGTACCTCAGGGATCTGTTCTTGAACCCATTCTCTTTAATATGTTTTATAAGTGATATTGCAGAAGGTCTTGATGGTAAGGTATGTCTTTTTTTGCTGATGATACAAAAATATGTACCAGTGTTGATGTTCCAGGAGGGATAAGCCAAATGGCAAATGATTTAGGTAAACTAGAAAAATGGTCAGAGTTGTGGCAACTGACAATTAATGTGGATAAGTGCAAGATAATGCATATTGGACATAAAAACCCAAGGGCAGAGTACAGAATATTTGAGAGTCCTAACCTCAACATCTGAGGAAAATGATTTAGAGGTGATTATTTCTGTGTACTTAAAGGTAGGCAGGCAATGTAATAGAGCAGCATGAAATGCTAGCAGAATGCTTGGTTGTATAGGGAGAGGTATTAGCAGTAGAAAGAGGGAAGTGCTCATGCCATTGTACAGAACACTGGTGAGACCTCACTTGGAGTATTGTACGCAGTACTGGAGACCGTATGTCCCGAAGGATATTGAACTTTAGAGAGAGTTCCCTGAACTCTCTCTAAAGTATCAATACCAACCAACCAACCTCGCCGCGTGTCCTTGGAGGGGGCTGCTTGCCCGCCTCTTGCCTTTGGACTATGGACCAGACTTTATGTGAATGTGTTAACCCAGATAGCTCTGCCATGGAGCCCATTCATGTAGTTAAAGACTTCGGCTCCATGGCAATCGAACTGTGTGAATAGGATCTGAACGCTATTCGGTAGTTTTGTGCGCTCAGATCCCAGCTATCTGGGGATATGTGACATGTCTGTGTTTTATGTATAAAATGTGACTTTGTGTATTTTATAATATTTTAATGCTTTGTGCTCACCATGTGCATAATGGAGTCTTGTGTCTGTCCTGGGAGATAATTTAATTACTCTCAATTATCTCCAGGATAGATGACTCTGAAACTGGTTTGGGCCAGAAAGCCATGCTTCATTTTGTCACAAAGGACTTTCCCTTAACTTTTGAACCCCTGGTCTGATTCGTGCCATTTTTTTAATATGTCGTTCCCCTGAATGGATTGATTATGAAAATGTATGTTTTATGTTTGTGACATGTATATTTTAGAAGTTATGAATATTGTGTAAAAACTGTATTCCTCTGCCGGTGATAATGAGATTACCCATTGTGTTCAGTAATCATATCACAGGCAGAGGGGATGATTTTGTGTGGGAGTGTCTGGGTGTATTGTACAGATTGATTGGTTGTTTTGTAACGCCCTGTGGGCTGTACTATGTTTGTGGATTGGGAATAAAAGAGACTGTATGTGACAGTACAGGGAGTTCCTGCTTAACCCTCAAAGTGAAGTGTCGCCTCATTATTGGGGGAAGGATTTATTGTATGCTGTTCCAGTTTGACTGCTAGGAGAGTAAACCTATTCGTATGGTTCCTATTCAACTGTCTACAGCATTCATATGCTTGGGAGAATTTATTTGTTTCTCCGGTTCAGTGATTGTGGTGTCTGCCAGAGTGCTTGGAGTCCTCAGGAAGCGCTAGGAGCATCCTTCAACGAAGGTACCCAGTCGGGGTCCCAGGTGATCCGTTACAGCTACTAAACTGGTTCATGGATTGCAGGTTAAAACTTACAAGGAAAGGTTAAAGGATCTTAACATGTATAGCTTGGAGGAAAGACGAGACAGGGGGGATATGATAGAAACATTTAAATATATAAAGGGAATCAACACCGTAAAGGAGGAGACCTATATTTAAAAGAAGAAAAACTACCACAACAAGAGGACGTAGTCTTAAATAAGAGGGACAAAGGTTTAAAAACATCATGAAGTATTGTTTTACTGAGAGGGTAGTGGATGCATGGAATAGCCTTCCAGCTGAAGTGGTAGAGGTTAACACAGTAAAGGAGTTTAAGCATGCGTGGGATAGGCATAAGGCTATCCTAACTATAAGATAAGGCTAGGACTAATGAAAGTATTTAGAAAATTGGGCAGACTAGATGGGCCAAATGGTTCTTATCTGCCGTCACATTCTATGTTTCTATATGTTTCTAAAATAATTTACTTTTTGTCCTGTAGGACTGTGTTCATATTTTTTAAATTTTATTTTAAAGGAGCAATACGAGACAGAGGATTTTGAAATTAAATCCACTGACAATCTTTTGATTTGTGGCCGTGCAGAAGAGGACCAGTGTAGTCTTGAAATTCACGGTAGGCTTTAGTCCCTCTTTCCCCATAAAACATATTAATGTACAGTCTTGCAATATGTAAAGGGACACAATGTTCCATATTGAGCAAAACCTAATGCACCTTTTAACTTTAATCAGATTTTTAGGACTCTTGTTATCCAAAGATGAAAGGATGGAGAGAGCTGTTTTGCGTATATATTTCAAGACATTGGAAATATCAGTGATTTATTTGCTAAAGTGTTAATTGTAGAAAATGGAAAGATAAATAGCAAAATATGAGGCTGAAATAGACAAGCTGTGGCTAACCGTGAATTACTTAAAAAATGGGTTATGTTGTCTAAACTTTTTGCATCTTGATTTCCAGTTTGCTGCTAAGATCAGAGCAGTCACCTTTAGAACATTAATTAGTCCAGCTGACTGCTCCAGAAACACACTGTCATCCAATAAGTCTTTGCAATTGAATATTGCAGATCTGCTGTGCCATATGAAAATAATCATTTTTTCCCCTTCCCCATGTTACCTGGGACAGTGTACAACCATGAAGAGGATTCTTTCTATGTTCATCATGATATTATTCTACCTGCATATCCCCTCTGTTCTGAATGGCTCAATTTTGATCCAAGTCCAGAAGAGTCTGTAGGTAAGTTTAAAAAAAAAAAAAAAAAAAAATGTGCCTTAAAATATCAGTGGTGTTTGCGATTTATATCTATATAACACAAATGCATAATATTTAAATTTAGAATAATTTTAGAATGCATACGCATTATTCATAAATTAACCTGTATAATGGGTGATTTTTTAAATAATGGTTAGCTCATCTTATAATTTGGTGCACAAAAGTGATTCATCTCAAAATCCTCTTGTACAGCACTGTTATACATTTGTTATGTATTAAAGGATCACTATAGGGTTAGGAACACAAACATGTATTCCTGGCCCTATAGTGTTAAAACCACCTTGTTGTCCCCCTGGGCCCCTCATGCCTCCATAAATATAGCAAAATCTCACTGTATTCAAGCCTGAAGTTGTAACTCTGTATGATGTTTGCCTCAGGAAAAAAAGCAGTCTGCTGACTTCATTAGAAGTGGTGGCCTGATCCAATCACAATGCTTCCCCATAGGACTGGCAAAGAGGCAGATCAGGGGCAGAGCCATCATGATTCAAACACAGCCCTGGCCAATCAGCATCTCCTCATAGAGATTAATTGAATCAATGCATTTCTATGAGGAAAGTTCAGTGTCTGCATGCAGAGGGAGGAGATACTGAATGTTTGGATGCATTTTAGGCAGCAGTGACCCAGGAAGGATCTCTAACAGCCATCTGAGGAGTGGCCAGTGAAGTTATCACTAGGCTGTAATGTAAACACTGCATTTTCTCTGAAAAGACAGTGTTTACAGCAAAAAGCCTGAAGGTAATGATTCTACTCACCAGAACAAATTCAATAAGCTGTGGTTGTTCCGGTGACTAGTGTCCCTTTAATAACAGATTATGACTTGTATAACCTTGACCTTTATTTGAAATATATAATTTACCTTTTTGAAAACTTGATATGAGATAGGTTGTCCACTAACTCACTTTGCATTTAAGAAAGACTGTAGTCTTAAATGGGGGTCTCGCACTGAGCTTTCCTGCATGTTAATAAGTCCTATAATTTTGATACACATTAAGGTTCTGTAAATAAGTTTGTTTCCTGTTTCATATAAATATAAAGCAACATAATATTTGGGGTATCAGTTTATATGATATAGATAGACATGATATTTTATTGTGTCGATGTGCGTTAATTCTTCCATGTGCATCCATGCAGCACAGACTATACCTTACAATCTTTTTGTTTTGATCTTTATATGAAATGTTGGCTATTTGTGTTTCCTTAGGAAATTATGTTGCAGTTGGCAACATGACCCCAGTGATTGACGTATGGGATCTCGATCTGGTAGATTGCTTAGAGCCCGTCTTTTCACTTGGAAGTAAACAAAATAAAAAGAAGAAAAAGAAAGGAAAGAAGGTACATACATATTTTCCCATTATAATATTAATTATATTTTCATATATTTATCTTTGTGACACGTAAAAAAAATTATATTGAAATTAATAAATTCCAAGGTGATAATGGCAGTTAGACTCTAGAAGAAATGTTTTATTGCTGTAGATCAAAATAATATTTTATTTTTAAAACCATGAGGATGCTTTAGAAGTTAGAATACAGTGACAAACAATCAGATATTGATGAAAAGATGGGACCTGGGTATAATCATGGTTTGACGGCTAACTTGTAAATATTGATTCTCTCCATCCAAAGCTATTATATGTGGTTTACCTCAGGTCTTCGGGGTTATGAAGCCCTCTACATCCTCATCCCATCTATCAAATGTGGAAACTACACTCTGGGGACACTAGTCACTATAACTGAGCTAACATTACCTGTATAAGAATTTTGTTAAAACGTCCGACTGCCTTTTTCAGATTTGCGAACGAGATGTTCCTGATTATCTCCCACACTAGCATAGTAGTAGTTCTGGATGAGAACTGAAGGGGAAAGTTAGGTACAGATGCACTTGATTTTTTTTTACTTCCTCCAATACTTTTCAAATCTGCAAAAGCTGGATGGATTTGGTGGCAAAGGAGGGAAATAGTTTCCCCTTTTTGTGTCAAAAGGATGAATGGGACATTTTTACAAATCATAAAAGATATAACCAACTAATTGCTAGACACAGTGACGATAGCACCTAGCATCATAACCTGTGCATTATGCATAGCTTACGGTGCTTAGTGTCTTAAAGGACCACTCTAGGCACCCAGACCACTTCAGCTTAATGAAGTGGTCTGGGTGCCAGGTCCAGCTAGGGTTAACCCATTGTTTTATAAACATAGCAGTTTCAGAGAAACTGTTATGTATATGAATGGGTTAAGCCTTCCCCCATTCCCTCTATTGGCTGTCTCATTGACAGCCACTAGAGGCACTTGCGTGCTTCTCACTGTGATTTTCACAGTGAGAGCACGCCAGCGTCCATAGGAAAGCATTATGAATGCATTCCTATGTGACTGGCTGAATGCGCGCGCAGCTCTTGCCGCGCGTGCGCATTCAGCCGACGGGGCGGAGAGGAGGAGGAGGAGAGCTCTCCGCCCAGCGCTGGAAAAAGGTAAGTTTTAACCCTTTTCCCCTTTCCAGAGCCGGGCGGGAGGGGGTCCCTGAGGGTGGGGGCACCCTCAGGGCACTATAGTGCCAGGAAAACGAGTATGTTTTCCTGGCACTTTAGTGGTCCTTTAACCCCTTAAGGACACATGACGGATATATTCCGTCATGATTCCTTTTTATTCCAGAAGTTGTGTCCTTAAGGGGTTAAGGTTTTTTTTTTTTTTAAGTTAAGTGTTTGAAATTGATTATACACATATTTGATGTGTAGAGATGATGACTGTATTGCTCCCATATGGTTGAAAAAACATGTTGCATTAAACTCCCGGAAGCAGGTTCTGATGATACTGAACTTGTTCTTTTACATTTTAGTTATTACAAATTGCTGTGTTCTCAACTTTGCCATCGATTGAGATGTTGCATTACATAAATGTTGCTGTGATCAGCAGTAACTCAGCACAAAAAACACCAACTGTAACATTTAATGGACACTGCTGTAGGCAACATTGTGTTTTCAACGTACATTAATCCTCTCGCTTCCTATGTGGAAATTAAACAGACCTAGATCTATTGTTAGAGGATTAGAATCCAACTGTACACTTGGAACTATTGTTTTATTTCATAGGGTGCGTCATCAGAAGAATCCCATGAAGGACACACTGATGCTGTGCTAGACCTCTCCTGGAATCGGCATATCAGGTAAAACCCTAACTATGACTTTTGAAACACAAAATAGTGGATAGTTGGAAACCAGAGCTGAGTAGGCACAGATTGCATAATATCTGTTTGGGGGAAAAAAAATACCAAGATCCTTCAAGTTTCTTTCACACATCTCTGCAATTGTAGCTCAGAAAGAGACATTCTCCATTTGTATTCAGAGATGGTAATCGGAGTTCTTCTTTGTTCAACGTGTTAATACATTACATTTTAACTGGGGCACTCATAGCACCATAATCACTACAATTTGTCTATGGGCTCTATATACCTTGTGTTTTGTTTTGTTATATCATTTTGCAATTGTGACACACAATAACAGCTCTCATAGACCACTCCTGAAGTGCAGCTCTGGATTTTTATGTGAGATTTTCTGCAGCAATTGGAGGCCCAGGTTACAGATCACCCTCCTTCGCAAATACCTCTTATATATTTGAAGCTGACTATAACTAATCCAAGTTTTTTTTTTTTTTTAATCTTTCTTTTATTTGAGGCTTAAAATTGCTAGGGTACAGACTGTAGAGAGGGAGATGATAAAAATACATACACGTAGGGATCATTACAGCTCCACATATATCACCTCAGATAATCATCTACCTCATTTTACATATTTAGTAGATAGGTTAATGGCAAATACGTAACTGCATAGTAATAACATAAAACAAAACTTGGTCATATCTGTAGCCTGGCATGGAGACAAAGCAGTGTAGATGAGACACCCGGTTTCCTATCATGCATATATTAGTGCAAGGTTAACCAATATTCAGTGCACAGTTATATTGCTGCCTTGAGGTCTGCGTGTGTGTTACAGGGGTCTCTAGAGATGTAGCCGGCTGATGGTCAAGCTTGTCCTAGTCTGTGGCCCGACCTCACTCTGAGTAGCCTAAGCATTTAATGATAGGTACGGAAAGCCGTCATAGGGAACTGTGTCACCTGTTTTCTCTGCTTACATGCATTTATGTGACTCACATAAACAAAAGGTCTCCCATCTCTGTGCTGAATTGGGTGAAACATACTAGGTCAATACATTATAAACATATTATAACAGGCCGGGCTACAGTGGCTTACTGAACATGCTTTAAAGAAAGATAAAGGTCTGCCTAGAACTATAATACAGGATTATGGAAGCAGTGCTGAGGCAGTGTTTATAACAGTATATGTGATACAAAAACCAGTTAAATAAGTCTCATGCGTGGTGTTTCACGGTGTCGCTTAAACTCAGCCAATCGGTTAGGTGCATTTGAGAATATTAAGCTTATTCACACAGGCTAAACCTAACTGTATAGTACTGCATTGGGAGATTACTCAACCTGCTCTTAGCTTAAGGCAAGTGTGAGGGATGAAACCGGTGAGGCGTTTAGCAGTTTAGTGTGATTGAACCCACTGGTGGGCTGCATAAGTGTCTAGTAAGCAATGTCCTGGTGTGGGTTGCTAGTGGAGTTGCTGATCATGTTGAGAATCACGCTGGGTAACCCACCAACCTTCCGGAGCCAGTCTAGAGAACTCTATTCAAGAAGAGTTCTCGGCCGTGGGCAGTATGAAGTGGGGCTGCGGGCCAACGAGCCATCCATCAGCCGATACCTCTGTTGGGGAGGTCGGTACCCCGAGGTCGCTGAGCTGCTGGTATAAGGAAGGAGCACTCCAGCCCCAGGCCGGTATGAAGGCCAGCACCTGCGATCCACAGACTTGGTGTCTCGTCGTTGAGGCCGGGTCTACCCTCTGATGGGTGCCATGGAGAGCTTGGGTGTTTTGCCGTCGCCTGTGATGGTCGGGCTTCCGGTGTTGTGGTCGGTGCCGTGGAGGTTTCCTCCGGGAGGCCTTTGGCCTAGGAAGGATTGTGGGGTGGGCTGCGACAGTAGCTCTGTGGGGTTTACCCGATGGAGGTCTTTCCCTCGTCCCTTCTTACTGTTCCCGCCTGCAGCATTGCTCCAAGCGCTCCCAGAACCTTTGAAAGATCCTGTCAAGTTGCTCAGCGTTCTGCTCCTCTGTGATTGCTTTGGCTGCTATGATGGGCTGCCGCGGGCTTCTGCCACTGAGCCACGGACGCCATCTTGTGTGGCCTACTGGCCGTGTTGTTCAGGCTGCAGGATATAGCCGGGCCTGTGGTGTCTTTTGCCCTGGGTTGGTGGGGAGCGGGATGACCCCCGCTGGTCCATAGGGGGGTGGGGACAGGGACCCATGCCGAAGTTGTAGCTTAGTGTGGCCCCAGGAGAGCGTCCGTCTCCCCCGCAGCCCCTTCGTTTGTCTCGGTGCATAGTAGGCCGCACTGCTAGGCCCCCGGTTTTTGCGGTCGGAACTTCAAGATTCGTGTACCGTTAGGTGCCGCTTCGACTGCAGATTAGCCCTCTCGGTCTGATTTGCCGTCTCGGATAACAATATATCCCTAATCCAATACCATTTAGAGTTTGTTGTATGTTTATTCCTCATAATAAAAGGCATTGCATTGCATTGCTCTTTGAATTTCATCTGCCATGGGCCTGCTCTTATCCCTCTGATATCTATTTATTGTCCTAATCACTCTGCACTAAAGTAACATCTAGCGCAGACTGTCTTGGCACTCACAGTTTTCACATGACCTTTGGCGGTTAATGTGCCTACTGCTGTACTATTCAAATGCATAAGAATATGTAACTTATTGTAAATACTAAGATGCCCCACAATAGGGAAACTTATTTATAAACCTGATCATTATTTTGGGTAAACAGTTTGTTTTTTTTTATGTTTTTTTTTTGTTTTGTTTGTTTTTTTTAACAAAAAAAAGTTTTGAGAGTTCATGCAGTGGCTGTAAAATTAATCCACATTGTTTCTGAACAAAAATCATTAGCTTACTCTCCAGATTCTTTGTTTTATTAAAGTTTGTGCATATCGGCCATTGCAAAATAATTTTTTCCAGCCTGGCATTACCTCTAGACGTACCTATTTTTATTTCATGTTATGTCATAACCCTTTCCAATTCTTTAACCCCTTAAGGACACATGACGTGTGACATGTCATGATTCCCTTTTATTCCAGAAGTTTGGTCCTTAAGGGGTTCCAAAAAAAGACAATTGTAAAATCTGAAATCTAGCATTATCCGGGTTAATTACATAAGACGTTAGGGTTTAAATGACCATAAAATATTCAGAATTTGTAGTTTAACTTATACTTACAATAATTTAATCCATCAAACTGATAGTTCATGTAGAAAACTGACTGCCTTATGTTCATGTTCCATGAATAAAACTGCAGCCATTTGAAGAACCACTAGTTCAGATAATGTTTTATGGGATATGCTTGCCATTCCTCACTGGAGATAATTGGAGTACGCAATTTTAGTTTTTAAAGAAACTTCCAGATATGAGCAGAATCACGTCTTTCCCAGATAGTGCAACATAAATAGGAGCATGGTGTCTTTGGGAGCCATGTTCCACTCTCTGCTGAATGAGTTCTCACTCTGACTCTACTAAAAGTTATCATGCAGCATTCTCTATGTATACACATGCCATTTGGCTGCAGCTTGCAAAGTGTTTGTCAATGCAATGTCTAA